GTCCTGCATGCGGATGGAGATGTTAGTAGCCTTGGTGAGCGTGAAGCTTTCCTTCTCATAGGAGTAGGCGACGTCGAGGTTGGCACGCAAGGAGAGGACCCCCTGCTCTATTGGCATCTTCAACACCAGGTACGTGTAGTGTGGCACGGCCATAAACTTGGTGAGGGCTGGTTGGCCAAGGATGGAATGGTACGCCATGTTGAAGTCGGCAACTAGGAAGTTGACGTAGTCGATGCGGAAGTGCTTGGAGTTGTCGAATTGTACCAGCAGTGTAATATGTCCCAAAGGCAGGGACACTTTTCCAAGAACGATCCCCAGAACAAAGAGTCCATGGGGGTAAGGTATTTTTTCTTGATCCCTAGCTCCTCTAGGGACCTAGCAAAAAGGATGTTGTGGGTGCTCCCTTCGTCGATGAGAACCTTATAGAAGCGGTTGTCCTTGATGATGGGATCCAGGACTTGTGGGAAACAACCTGGATAAGGGATATCCGACCACTGGTCGGCCCTAGAGAAGGTGATCGGGTGCTCCGACTAGTCGAGGTATTTGGGATCAGCAATGGGGCCGTCATATGTTGCGACCGACATGACACATCGTGCTACAAGCTTCTTCTCCCACTTGTATTTAGAGACAGCTCTCCCACCAAAGATGGTGGCGACGGTCTTGGTGGGGTCCTGGTAGGTTGGGCCCTTGTTCTTGCCTTGTTCTCCGCCTTGACCATCTTCGATCTCATCATCTTCATGCCATGGCTTCTTTGACGGTTTGCCACCAAGCGTTGTCTTTAGGCCTCTGCACTCTCACATGGTTTGCTTGCCATCCTTGTGGATAGGGCATGGGCCGTCTAGCAGCTTGCCAAAGTCAGCGTTGTAGGTGCGCTTGGCACAGGCGTTGATGGTGTTGATGGAATTATCAGGTCAGTGACGGTGGCCTTGTCTGCCTTGAGCTATCTAGGTGGTCGTCACACCGAGGCTCGTGGTCATCTTGGCGGCGGTCGCGGTTGTCGCGGTGGTCTTGGTCGTCACGGTGGCGGTCGCGGTCGTCGTAGCACCTATCTTCACGACGATCATCGTCGTGGCATTGTTGGTGAGCGGAGCGGGTAGCCCGCTCTACTTCTTTGGTGTTGGCATACTGTTTGCTATTTGTATCAGCTCATCGATGGTTGTGGGCCTCTTGTGGTACAGCTTGCCATGGAGTTACTCATGCCAGAGCCCCTTGGTGAAAGCGATGATGGCCTCGACATCAATGATGTTGGGAATGGAGTTTCTTGTCTTTGAGAAACGTCTGATGAAGTCACGCAGGGACTCCTCGGAGGATTGATGAAGCTTCTCCAGGTCATACTTGGTGCTGGGCTGTTCACACATGGCCATGTAATTGTCGGTGAAGACTTTCTTGAGGTCATCCCAAGATAGGATGGAATTCTCCCATAGGCTGAGAAGGCAGTTGTTCGCTGACTGGTTAAGCATGATGGGTAGATAGTTCGCCATGACGTCTTCATCTCCGCCTGTGGCTCTTACAGCGATCTCATATAGAGTTAGCCACTGAGCGGGGTTGGCCTTTCCATCATAGGTGTTAACACCAAGAACCTTGAAACCCACAGGCCACTAGACGGCTCGAAGCCTTTCCGTGAAGGGGCGAAGTCCTAATGCGCTGGCGGGAAGTGGCGCTTGATGGGTAGCAAATCCCTCATGTTCAGCATCGAATTGTCGGCGACGCTCCATCTCTGCTTTGTAGCATGCAGACTTGTTGTTTTCGATGCGGCCGCGGACATCTGCGCTGGCATTGATGTGGTCACAAAGGTCGCGAGGGGGTTGATTGACCTCCTGGTTGTGGTTGCCGCCCTAACCTCCCTAGGGGCGCGGTGGACAGCCATCGTGGTGTGAATGAGCTCCATAGTTACATCTAGATCCTCCATGGAGGTAGGGACCTCTAGCCTGATGTCGGGGGCCCTCAGCGTCGTGATGCTAGCCTCCTGCATTGCGGTGGGAGCGGTGGCTATGAGCTGATGCGCTGGAATAAGATGGGGCATTGTTTCAGAACTTGTTGACTTGGACTTGCGCTGCTATGACATGTGCTCAGACCTTCTCGACCTCTAGAGTGTGAGGGTGTTTGTCGAGCTCGTTGAAAGCGATGACTAGATTGGTGCTTGGAGTCTGGTAGACTGGCTAGTCACCCACCATGTCGAATGCCTCCTCTAGATTACAATGATGGTGGGGTGGGCTACAACCATCTTTGTCGGCCACTTGGGCTGCTTCTACATCTCGGCAATGTTAGCGAATCGGTGTTCTTCGCTAGACGAGCTTCGCGCCCTTTAGCGGTTTCATCATCCTTGGTGATGCAATCATGGTTGACATGGAAGATCATGCCCCTGAACCCTGGAGGGAAAGTAGGGCAGCTCGATGCAGTCTTGGTTTAGCCCTTGGAATAATCATCAAGGCTCTTGTTCAGAATGTTATGGAGGGATTTGGTCGGAAGAGAGGGATCATCCGAAAGCTGGCGAATAGCCACCATGTTGACCATGGGCGCGGGCCGACTAGAGTAAGTCGGGTCGATCATGTAGAGGTCAGTGACATGGTCATGCTCAACGTGGTCAATAAAGAGGTGATGGATGGTGTTCTGGTATGTAGATCCCTCCAACCCAAAAGGATAGGGCCTCATTGCTGATGGATGCCACCCATTCCTTGGCACGATTGAGCTCATGTGATGCTCTACTCAAACTGCCACGGTTTCTTTTAGGCGCCATCCAGCAGATCTGTCGCCTAGAGGAGGCTACGCGCTTGCGGTTGCTATAATGGCAGAGCAGTTGCCAGGCGAAGCGGTGTGGCCACGAGGAAGAAGATGAAGTGGCGGAGAGAAAGTGGGGAATGTGCGCCGGGGTCGTGGTGCTCTTATAACGGTTCGACCCTTGACCCTCTACCTTCCAGGGTTTTTTTGGGAAACCGCTCCCACCACATCGCATTCTCTTCTATAGTCTTCGCATGCCGCTGGGCCACTGAGTGGGCCTGGTGGGCCACCCTATCAAACCGTATCAAATGTGGGTTGATATTCAATGCTGAGTGTTGCTACGACATGATATTTTTTCTCTGACCCTACTACAAGATTTCTTCGTAATCTTCTAGCATGCTCGGGGACTACGTGTGTACACATCATCTCATGATGACTGTATTTATTTCTACACTGGTTTCCAGAGACATAAGGGACTAGGCCAGCACCTGAAGACCACTACTTTGAACCCTGGCACCACACCACTACTTCACCTATTGCCAGGCTAGGAGCCTAGTGGGCACACTTCACCTCGCGGTGAATGTGCTTATTTTTCGACCTAATCTTTTACAAAATGGCTAAGTTCTTCCATGCTAACTAAGTCAAGGACGCCATGCGACCAACTTCGATGCCCAGAACCTAAGTGGGCACACTTCACCCAAGGTGGAGACTTTAAATTTTTTTACTTGAGCTCCTTACATCCTTCTGACAAACCCTAGTTTCGAGTGTGCTCGGCTCTAGCAACCAGATGAACAGCTCAGACGCATGCTCAGACAGCTCGAACGCATGCTTAGGTAGCTCGGATGCATGTTCAAACTGCTCGAACGACATGTTCAGTAGCTTCGAAGCACGCTCAATAGCTCGAACGCATGCTCAAGCAGCTCGGTGTTGCCCAATGGATGCAAGGTGCTCGGGGACTAGCTGTGGGAGTATAACCCCTAATACCAGTAGGGTTATACATGGGCCGAGCCGCTAGGGGAGGTCCAGCCCATAAGATGGTGCATGGGCCACGCCACTAGTGGAGGCTCGGTCTACAAGACTACGCCGTGCGAGGCATGACACAGGTCAGCGTGCCTCACCAGACTGCATGAAGATCTTCGATGATCTAGGAGACCCGCTCGGATATGCCAGATCCCGTAATATCTGTAACTTCCTATCTTATAAAACCGATCAGGATAGAAATAACCGATCTATAATCCTACCCCAAGATATATAAGGTGGGTAGGGACCCCCCTTGTTTTCATCTGATCATACGCAATATAATCCACAAAGACATAGGACATAGGGTATTACGTCAAGCTGATGGCCCGAACCTGTCTAATCGTTGTCTCTCATGTTCTTTGTCACCATCCAGCTCCCTTACGCTCACCTCCACCGATTCATCTACTACCGTGGGCATACCCCTTGGTAGACTATCAGACGTATTTCGTCGACACCACCTCTTCCATGCCGCTTAGTTGACTCCCCGCCTCTTCCACACCGACGTTGCGTGGCTTGCGCCTCCTTCCCACACCAACGCCACCATGGCTCCCGCGCTAGCTCTCTTTTCCACGCTCAACGACCCTACAACCAGATCTACTTTTGCAACACTCAGATAAAACAATTGCAATATACGTCTAAAACAGATAAAACATTTGGAACATAAATTTGCAACATAGTCATTACAACATATTCAACATCCAGACAAAACACTTGCAACATGCTTTTGAAATAGATGAAACATTTTGAACAAACTCTTGCAACATACGTGTATAACCATTGCAACATCCAAAAACTACCATTGCAACGTCCATATGAAACATACTTCTGAAACATGCGTTCTACAACATAGGGAAGGTCGAGGCCGGTCGATTCCAAGCGTTGGCGACGAGCGGTGGCGTGTGAGCGCCAACAGGACCAGCACTAGTGGCGGTGCACGAGCACCACCATCATCAGCACCACTACACTGGCATTGGCTTAGCCGGGTAGGCGGCAAGTGGGATAGGTGGGAAGCATGCTGCACGTGCGACGAGAGGGAAGGAGAGAGGCGGCATCAGCAAGCGTGGAGTGAGGCGAGTGCACGTTATGCGCCATGTGGATGGGCGACGTAGATTTAGGCGCGTGTCGCGTAGTGTAGGTGAGCGGCGTGGGTGGGTTGGTCTGTCTGGACGGACGGACGCAAATGGCATATTATTATCGTTTTTTTCGAGGGCCAAGCTCAATTATTCGATTCAGCAACGAGCTACATCTTCTTTTTGTTCCATTCATCTCAATCTTTCTCCACATCTTACACATGATGAATTCCATTTCCCAAGAAAGAACATGGCCAGTCGATCCATGAGTGCCACGGCCACATCATAGACAAGCTTGAAGAGGAAGAAGACATGGTCCTGGCCCTTGGACTCAAACCACCCGCTTGCCTTGATGGCCTCATAGTACGCCTTGTCCCTTGGCAGCAGGGAGTCTAGCTCCGCTGCACAAACAAGCACCCTCTCGCACAGCAGGTCCCATAGGCTCAGTGCCATGATGGCCAGGGGATTGACCCACGTGTCGTCCATGCTGTCCGTCGCCCCGAGGCACACAATCGCCCATAGCTTCTCCATCATCGCCATAGACGTCGGTGCCTCACCGTCAATGAGCTCGCTGCCCCTGAACCCAGTGTGTAGGAGGACCGCACCCTTGATCCGTGGCTCTGATGATGCGCATGCGGTGGCCATCATAGCGACGTTGTGGACAATGTTCCCACCGGTGTTATCGCTGGTCAGGAACACACGGCGCAAGTCACCGTGGCGTGACAGCCATGGGTCGTCCCCATTACCGGCAGAGGCCGCCCACTTGAGCGTGCGGAAGGAGTCCTTGTAGCCTGCCTACAATGGGTGCTCTGGTGCGAGGCAGTAGTTCACGGAGACGATGAGCAGGGCGGCCTTCGCGGCCAGGGCATTGAGGAAGCGTTGGTAGACTGGAGACGCTGTCGACTGGGTGACGAAGCCGAAGCTGTGGAAGTAGACTAGCAACGGGAGCTTCTTGTTGTTGTCGTCGTTGGGCGGTGACCCAGTAAACAAAGCCATGTCCGGGAGGTAGAGGCGGACGTAGAGGCCGGCGTCCGAATTTAAAGTTTTTCATAAATATGCCCCTGGAGGTATGTTTTCAAAATTTGGACCCAAAGCTCGGTTACATGTCTCGGCGCCAAAGGATTTGGCACCTCGGTCGGGGGCCACATCGACATCAAAGTAGAGCCAGGGGGTGACATGGCAGCCAGCTTGGCGCCGTCGATCTTAGTGCCGAGCTTAGCGCCAAAGATCCTGGCGCCTAGCCGGCCTTATAGGTGGGTCCGTTTCCTTTCTCTCTTCCTTCCTTCCTTTTTCTCTCTTCATTTCTCTCCCACTCTCTCTCACGCCCGACACCTCCCACCACTGGCGCCGCTCGTCCTCACAGTCCCCCGCCCCGACCACCATCGCCGCTCCTAGCCGCCCGTGCGCCCCGCACCACTGACCGGTTCGGCGCCCCGTCCCACGCAGGCCAGCGCGGCCGAGCCCCGCTCCCCCATCCCCAGGCTCCTCTCGCCACGGCTGGCCACCCCTTCGCCTTGGCTGCCTCACCCCGCCCACCTCACCGCGCCACTGCGCTGCCACCCACCCTCGGCGTCCCCCCGCCCAAGCCACCCACCACCACGGGACAGCCTCCTGCTGCTGCTGGCCCAATTGCCTCACCCGGTGAGGCCGGTGGCAGGTGCCATTTGTTTGGCCTCCTGTGGCCGCCCACACCCACCCGCTTGGCCACTCTGATTGCCCGTCGGGTGCATGGGTGGGCGCATGACAGCTTCCCTGCCAGCCGTCTCTGCCTCTTGTCAACCGGTTGCGCCTCCCCTGCGCTCGAGGTATATTAGTTTTTAAATTTAGTTATTTAACAGTGGTTATTAGTTCATTAGTGTAGTAGTGATTTAGATAGGTAGAAAGATATTTAGATTGATATGTTGATTGATGGATACTTTACATAGTTAGATATATAGTTAGTTATATAGTTAGTAAGATAGTTAGTTAAATAGTTATATACTTAGTTACATAGTTAGTTAGATAGTTACTTGACATAGTTAGTTAGTAGTACTTAGTAGTTAGTAGTGAATTGATAGTATCTATTTAGTTAGTGATTACATATTAGAGACCTTGTACTTACACTGCTTGTGGTTGATGATCCTTCACTAGTTTCGATGTCAGCAAGCCTATCAATGATGTCGCGTATACAGGGCCTCTTACTTCATGCAGCTTTTCCCCATTTCAATGCATAGTATTACTTGACCATAAGCTATTTCCAACCTAATTTTTTTTAATTTTAACACTTTTTGTAAACTAATTTTAAATTTAACACTATTTTTTTTCAAAACTAACACTTTTGGCCGTGCCTATTGCCATGTGTATGGTGGAGCAACGGGGGCTGATGTGCTGACGACCGAAAAGGCTGACCATTGACGTGGCAGGGCCTGCCGCGCCATCGATCTTGGCGCGGCAGTGCCACGCCCTGATCCATGGCGCGGCAGAGCCAAATAAAAGCCCGCCTGCCCGACCAGCAAGCCCGCCTGGCCCTCCATTGCCGCCTCCCTCCCTTCCCTTCCATTCCTGGGCCACCTCTCTCCTCATCCTCGTTCAAGATAATGATGCACTTTTTATTTTCGTTTGAATGGTGGATAGGATATTATGAATGTGAGTTAAGGTTAGGAGAAAAATTTTGTTTGGAAACTATGGGTTATGGTTTGAAGAAATATATTAGTTTAATTTTATCAATGTTAAGGTTAATTATTTAGTTAGAAGTATGTTTACCATGTATATTTTTGTTGCTATAAGTGTTGGTTATATTATTTTAGTTGCAATACAAATGATTATATTTTACATTAATTTACGTTGTTTTGATTGATATTTAATTTGAACCATTTTATTAGATGAAAAACATGTTTTGGGAGTAGTTGTGGCGAAAACGGGGTCGTCTTAGAGAATTATACCCCGACGAGTCTAGCAAAGATGCCCCCGTCCCTCCTGAACTCTCTGTCCCTAACTGTGACTGTGGTTGTCCGGCCGACGTGTTTCAATAGAGACATCCGGACACAGCGGCTCGTTGCTTCTACACATGCAGTCATTTTAATGTAAGTAATTGTTTCCGTATATTTTTTTCTTCATTTGTATTACTAGGTTACTAATATTTTATTGGAATTTTGTTGTGTAGGCCCATGAGAGGTGCTTTTTCTTTCAGTGGATCGACGGTGCAGACAAGTTTGACCCCAGGTACCTCCTTTTCGATGATTGGTGGAGAGGGCAACATCCACCAGAGCACTTCGAGCGGTGGGTTCCACCTCCCCCTAACCCGCCTCCAACGACGGCTAAGGAGAAGCACTTAGCCATAGTTAGATGACTCGAGAAACCTCCTCTGTGCGATTGCGGAGATCAAGCTGTGATAAACCCTGAGAATACGTTAAAGTTTATGTGTCCAAACAAGCATGAAGCAAGTGCAAAGTGTATGTGTTGAAATGTTGAGCTATATGTGTTCATGTACTAATGTCAAGTTATTTAGGTGTATTCAATGGTGAAGTGTCGTTTCAAGGAGTGGTTGTATGGTCCTAAGAACCAATGGCCAGAAGAACCTCCAAAGGCAAAGCAAAAGAAGAAAGAAAGATTAATTTATAAAGCACCTCCAGTCAAGTGCGAATGTGGTGTTAAATACAACTACGGTCCAGTCCATTCGGAGCTTGGAATACGCCATTATTGTGGCCATATGGTTGACTATGATGAGATTGGTTATTTTTGTGGTAACCATGAAATCGTATTTTGTTTCTTTTGATAAGACATATATGATATAATTTTTCGTTTGAACATAGCACTAGAAAATGCAGGTGGGAATGTTATGATGGTCAAGCTAAGTTCTTGGATGAACTGAAGGGGAAGCAAGTAATTGCACGGAAGAGGGGATATGGACCTGACTACGTCAACCTTTTTGTTAAACATCACAAAGACAAGATGCGTGAGTTTGCTAGACAGCGCGGTATTTGTAACCCGATCGACGTTGGGCTTGACAAATGGGGATTGGAGAGATGGATGATGTTAGAGGAGGAGAGGGCAAGGGAGGAGATAAGAGTACAGATGCAGGTCTTGAACGTGCATGTTGTTTTATTATGTGCAAGTGAGTGCTTGAAAGCCTTTTTTCGTTGCCTGATTTTACATATAATATAATCGCATTGCTAACTGATTACATTTTATACATGAAGGGATTAGATGCAGCGAGGAACATGCTGCAGAGGTGGCTCATGCAAGGTATGAGGAAAAGAAGTTAGATGAGCACAGAAAGCGAGCTGGTCGCACCGTTGAATCACCGATTGTGTTGTCTGCTGAGGGGGACGAGGATGAGGATGACATTGCCAGACTCAGCGAGCTCATCGCTCTAGCAGAGGCGGGCTTGTAGGCGAAGGAGGCTAAGGACAACACTGGCTGACTGAGCGAGCTCATCGCTCTAGCAGAGGCGGGCTTGCAGGTGGAGGAGGATGACGACGCGTTCTTCACTCAGGCCGCAGAGGCCGCAGATGAAGTGGCATCCACTTACGATAGGCGACATGGAGGTGAGAGCAATATTGGTGAGCCTAGCCACATGAACGAGGAGGAAGAGAACGAGTTCTTGTCTCAGGCCACAGATGAAGCAGAGGCCGCTTACTATAGGCGAAAGGCAGATCAGGGCAATGTAGGTGAGCCTAGCCATGGCAACAGGGTTGTGGTTGAGGATTGGTACTCGGACGACGAGTTGCTTACTCAGTATGTTTCTGACTGAGGGTTTTTTATTGCGTCGTCTGTTAGTTTCATGCTTTATTAATGATCAATGTACATATGTACTAGAAATGCAATTGTGTTGTCTTATATTCCATTTGAACTATTGATGTATTGTACCCATGTATCATGTACTCGGATTACCCAAGGTCGATCTTAAGTGATCCTATCTGTTTGTATCATGCGTTGAGAATTTCTAAAACGAACATAATCGAGTAAAATTATCTCGAATACAGCGCTATAGCCCACTGGTTCTGCCATGCCATAGCCCAGGTTCTACCATGCCATAGTCCACAGCGTGGTAGTGACGCGCCATATCCCACGGCATGGCAGTGACGCGGATAGAAATAGAGCAGCCTCAATTGAGCTTTTGTTGTCGGTGCTATAAACAACTACAAGTGCTGCCGCGACCATGCGCAAGTTGAAACAAATATGAAGCAAATAAATGGACGACAAGTTGCTACATAACATTTGCATTGGTTCATGAGTCTACAAGTTTCAGACGACAATATTCGTTCGATATAAGTTCGACGTAACGAACTAAGTCCTAGGATGTAAGGATCCCTCGAACGGCTCTTGGAAACCTAATCGTCCGGTGGAAGAAGGGGATCGTCGTACTCCACCTCAAGAAGGGGGTACATCTGGTGCGGTGTGGGAGAGGCCATCCTGTTACAAATTGATAAACAAAGGGTTAGAGTATTCAAATTAACAATATTCAAATTAACATTATGTAGCATTGCAAAATTTAAACTACTTGTTATGCAATACGAACACAATATGAAAGCACCTGTTGCCCTCGTCTTCTATGCCTGCAAGCCTTGTGACCAGATTCTTTCCAAATAGAGCAAAGATTCCTGCCATGGGTCTCGTTGAAGTCTTCCCCGCCATACATGTCTTCATCGTACCCTCTCATAGCATCCATGCCCCCCTTGAATCGCTTCTTCTTCCTCCTACCCTTCCCTACCTTCATTAGATCCGGATGCGGCACGTAGTCATAACCATTATAAGGTAGCCACTGTGTCGGGTCAAGGTATGGCTCGAAGCTCATCTCCCAAATACTAACGGTGTTCGAACGGAGATACAAGGGTGACATATATGGCAGATCCTCATAGTTGTACCCGCGAATCCTACAGGCCGTGATCATATGAGAGCAAGGGGCATGCATGATCTGAGGGACGTTGCAACTGCACTCTACCTTTTTAAGATCAACTCGGTAGTTTCATCCACCATAACATTCATCGCCCAAGCTTGTGCCACCCTTGCCCCGTACACTAAAGATATGGCGACAGGGTCATTATTGCTCGGTGGTGTGCTGCTTGGCCAATTCCTCGGCCTCCTTCAAATGTTCAACTCCAGCCTTTCCAAAACACCCCTGCTCAGCTATATTCCTCTGTGCAAGTTTCCACCTCTTCACAAAATATCCGTTGCACTTATGAAAGGAGAACTCAATAATTCCAAACACAGGCAATGATCGAACTCCGGTGAATACACGGTTGAAGGACTCCAAGGAGTTAGTGGTCATGATGCCATATCTAAAACCCCCCTCATCATATGCTAACGCCCACTGAGCCTTTTGTTCCATTTACGCCTCTAACCAGGCCTTTCCCGCTTTATTTACCATCTTGTCTAGTTCTCTCTTTGTCTCCTTAAACTGGTGCTCTGTACATACACAACATAGAGCCTTTACCTTGTCACATACCTCCAGCTTTCGCTGACATCGCCAGAAATTAGCGGCAAAGTGTCTCATGCACCATCTATGCACTAGAGGTGAGAACCCATCTATATGCTCAGCTTCAGCATTAAGAAGCCCTAGGTGACGGTCCGAGATCAAACATATAGTGCGAGATGGGCCAAGCACTTGTACACGTAGAAGTTGCATGAACCATGACCATGATTCATTGTTCTCTCCCTCTACCAAAGCAAAAGCCATGGGTACTATCGGGTCCTCAGGATCAACAGCAGCAGCCATCATCAAGGTGCCCCTATACTTTCCTATCAGGAAAGTACCATCAACAAGTACGACTGGCCAATAAAACTAGAATGCATGTTTCATTTACGCAAACAACTAGAACACACGATAGAGGACATGCCTCAATGGGTTCCAAAAACACATCCCTCCGGTGTCCACAAACCATTTCAAGCCAGGGTTGTAGTAATGCATTGCACATAAAATGCGGGGCACCCTATTGTACGCTTCCTCCCAACTACCCCATCGAATCGTCAGGACAATTTGTTTAGCACGCCAAGCCTTTTCATACTTCACATCATACTTAACGAATCCAGATATGGACTGTTGTAAAGAAGACACCGAAATGTCGTTATTGTCATCAATAAGCCCCAATATATGACAGGCAAGGTAACGTGCAGTGGGCTGCTGATGATTTTCCTTCTCCCTATTTATTAGGCAAGTGTGGGGTTCGATAACTTTACTTATCCTCCACTTGCCATCACTCTGTCTTTTTCATGCATTTAACCTCCACATACAACTGTTTTTACATATCACATGGTACCTCAACTCCTGGTCCGAATGAGTGACGGTGTACGGCCTATGGTGGTACACAGCATAGTCCTGAAGGAAGAGTTTCATCTCTGACATTGTATTGAATATCATCCCCTTGCTAAGGGTTTCTTTCTCATGGTCATACAATGATTTCCTACACATCTGAAGACCGGTGTCATAAACTACCATATCCGTCATGCTGACATCCCTATAGTTCGGAACACCCCTGAAAGGTACGTTCATCGAACTTAGTTGCTCAAGCTCAGTCGCTATGTAAGGTGGTGGTGGAACATACTGCTGCGCTTCGCTAATTCTGGCCCATGAATCATAGGGGGTATCATCTGCTGCCAAATCTATGACTAGTCTACCCTGAGCCTGGATACCATGCAAAACCTCAGTTAATACTGGTAATGGCATAGTATGAACTGGTACTGGCATGGCATCAGCTAGTGTTGGCATAGCATCTGTACCTCCTTAGTCATCATCAGAATCGTCTGAATCACTGCTAACTACATCATCGATCCTGTCCTCCTCCTCTTGCTCCTCCTCTTCCCATTTGAACTCATTCACATCAAAGTCATTGCTTATACAGCCTACTATAGTTGAATGAAACTACTCCTACATCAACTGGCCGTCCAAATCTATGTTATTTTGAGTTGCTTCCTCTTCGACCCCCAATTCTTGTTCATTGCCTCCAAAACCATCAATGGACGGGCCATCCTAGACACCCTACATCATGTGCCCATTCTCCACCACCACCTCAGCCATGGGTACATTGAAACCTTAGAGCACCCTAGTGTAGCGGGACCAGTGAGCAGGGTCGCGCAAGGGCATGATGACATAGTGTGCCCTAGTCTTCCCAGTATTAAACCTCCCCTTCAGTGTGAAATCACCACCAAACTTTGCATTCAAATGGACACAAAGGTCGTTGAAGCTAGGAGGTTCATCAAATCATTCCAATTCTTCTTTCATATCCTCAAACATACCATCTTCTTTTCTAACATTTCCTCCGTATAAAACTCTAACACAACAATCCATCTGCAAAAGCATTTCAAGAAACTTCATCAAGTCGTCGAAATCATCGTACGTAATGTCCATAGTAATATTAATACATATTCTAACTATAACTATACTAACTATTCTAATATTAACATCTATACAATGCTAACTACAACAACTAATTAGACTAAATCCAATGTATAACTAAACTCACTGACTGTACTAACTAAACTACCTAACTTTACTATCTATATTAACTTACTATATTATCTATACTAACTAAACTAACTAACTTTACTAATTATACTAACTTTATTTATTTTACTAAATTACTATACTAATAATGTCGATTCAATCAACAAATACACTAGGAGAGTATCTCACGGCAGCGACGCTCGTTCTCGTGGCGGTGGCGAAGCTGAACCAGACCTCGGCCTCGCCCGGCGCCGGCTCGGTGGCGCGGCCAACAAGCAGGCGTGGCGGCGGTCAGGCGGCGGCATCGTCGTCGTGCCATGCCGCCGCGTTCGTGGCGCGCGGCCGGCGTGCTCAACTGACGGGCTGGCTAGCGCGACGGATGTGGTAGCAGCTGCAAGCGTGGGTAGGTGGGCTTGCTGCTCGGGCATGCGGGACTAGCCGCAGGGCTTTTATTCAGCTCTGCCGCGTCACGGATTAGGGCGCGACACTGCTGCGCCAAGATCGGTGGCGCGGCAGACCTGCCACGTAACGGTCAGCCTTTCCGGTCGTCGCGACGTCAGCTCCCATTGCGTCACCATGCATGACGCGGCGCCATAGCAATAGGCGCAGCTAAAAGTGTTAGTTTTGAAAAAAAAAACAGCATTAAATTTAAAATTAATTTACAAAAGTGTTAAAATTAAAAAAAAATCTCCAACGCTGTGCGTCTCCCTGATGTATCAGATTCCAACCTACTCCTCCAGCCTTCAAGCACCAATCACTTTGTATAACAGAGATGTGATTAACGTCAGGGGTGCATTGAATTTCATATAATATACCAAATACTCAGCTGATACAGCGAGAATACCATAAAACTGATACTATACTTGTAAAAGCAAGAAGTACGCAGTGTAGTAGACAAATAATTCGAAATCATACAGCAGCGTAATTTGGTGACATTAAAGAAAATCGCACTATGCCAGAGGTATATCTTCATCACTCTCCCGATGGTCACGGTGGCTAAGCACGCTCAGCAGGCTGCCGTGGCCGGTTCATCCCACTTGGCTACCTTGCCTATACGTGTTTTTTTTCGAACTTGTCTAGATTACCATAAAATTTGTATATAATAACGGACACTAGCTTTTTCACGCCTTGACATCCTACGGTTACCACTAGATAAAAATTAAGGCAATAGGTTAAAGGCATTTTCCAATATATTTGATTAAGTGAGGTAGGACAAAGTGGAGAGAGAAAAAAACCGATCCGACTATAACTTTAATTTAGTCATTTCGCATCCAAAAACCGAAAAAAAGCAATTAACATTAAACCCTTTACACTTAGGGTTTTCCATTTGATCCACGGTTTCGGTGCCCATCAAGCGGTCGATGCGCCGGTGAACCCATAATATAATAATCCATGGCGAAAGGGTGCAGCGGGTGCGTGGAGGTTACCTTGGTTTGCTAGCTTTTTCATGGGCCAAGCCTTGACATCCAACGCCAGTTATATAATATAAATATTAAAATTGCATGAAACCTTAAGTAATGGCATTGGCAAATGTATACTCCAGTGCGATTCTTAAGTTGAAAAAATTAATACTAATATATACCAAATCGATGACTGTACTCTGATAGATGAAAAGCCCAAAAAAATTCTGCCTAAAAAAAAGAGAGGAGAGTTCCTTTATACCCCTAAAACTACTACCTCCATCCCAAAATAATTAGAGCACTTTAGGTTTAAAATTTTGGTTTAAGTACATATCTACATATCACCAACAAACCACTTTTATACTTTCTTCTTCCCTTCTACTATATACCGTCACATCTATTACTTAAGTTAACATTATGAGGTCAGTTTTCTTTTACAAATGGTCATTTTGCAGTTGCTTTCCTTTTCCCCCAGGTAAAGTGATGAGTTTTCTAAGTGACTAAAAATGTTGGGAGCATATTTGTTAGCTTTCTTTCCAAAATCTCAATTCAAAAAGATAGAGATTGGAAATCCTAAATGATATCTAAACCACTTTTATACTTTCTTTCTCTTCTATATTTTGTATCCGATTGGCCTAATGATATGCGCGCATATTTATCCGTGCACGGGGTCGATTTTTTCAAGTGCTAAAAGATTGATAGGTGGTGTTGGGAGTTGTTGGAGCTGTAAAATCATGGATCGAGATATTGTTTTAGGAACTCTTGGAGATGCTCTAATAGCTGTTAACTTTTAGCAAGAAGTTGTTTGGATCCACCTGCTAATAGGTGGTTGGATAGTGAGTTAAAGATGTATGTGAGCTATTAGAACCTATTAACAACTCTAAACCTGCTAATGAAACTAATAATTAGCAGTTCTTCAACTAATAATCAGCAGGCTTGTTTAGACCCACTGATTTCTAATTTTAGCTACTATTTTTTAGTGCTAATGAATTTAAAGAGGCCCTTAGATGCACTACCGCTGTTTTTTAGTTAGCTAGCAATTAGCCCTTTAATCTAAATAGACCCTAAGTAACGTATGTGACGCCGATGATAGTAAAGACCAAAGAGAAGAAAAATTGAAACCATAGCATAAAGATCACAATAATTTTTTTAGAGGTTCATATAAAATTGAGATATTTTATGATGGTATTTATGGAATTGTCTTCATAAGAAGAGAGCAACGATTGGACATGGATTAGGGAGAGAGAGAAACGGGAATGACACATGTGCCGGCTGATGGAGGGATATTTTTTTAATCATAAGTCTATCGGATACATAAGCCAATACGTGGATCCAAAATTGTTGGAGACATGTAAAGTAGCACAGTTCAAACGGACATTATAAATTATAATGGCATCATTCCTATATGATGACCAATAGTAGCAGCGGATCAAATTATATATTTATATAATGACGTATATTTAATTTAATTAATAAACCATATTATAAAAAAAAAAAAAAAAGAGTAAACCCCCACCTTGCTCGCCGCCTCGCCGAGCACAGTGCTGAGACCTTCTCTGGACCCCTCTCCAGTCCCACGTCTCCACGGCCGGCCGTATCGATGAGCTCCCTAATCACTTCCTGAGCCGCTGCCGTCCACCATGTCGTCGACCCGGCGGCTCGTGCTGCCTGCTGTCCACAAGCTCCGATCCCGCCGCCGCCTCTCCTCCACCTCCTCTCCCACCCCCAACACCCCAAACGCCGCCGCCATCCTCGCCAACCTCCTCCACGGGCACACCCCCTCCACCGCTACGCTGTCCCTCCTCCGCGCATCGCCTGGCCTCGCCTCAGAGCTATACGCCCTCATCGCCGAGCCGTCCCACGCATTCACGCCTGCCTTCCTCACTACCCTCCACTCCCTCGCGGCCCGCCACCGCCTCCCGCCTCCCTCCGCGTCGCTCCTTTCCAAGCTCCTCGCGCGCTTCTCCTCCCCAGCCGACGCCGCAAGCTTCCTCCGCGACTCCCTCGCCGCGGGCGCGCCGGCGCCGGATGTTTCCGCCTTCAACTCCCTCCTTTCCGCGCTCGGCCGCGCTGGCAACCTGCGCGGCATGACGGAGCTGTTCACCTCCATGCGAGAGGCCTCCGTCAAGCCTGATATCGTCACCTATGGGATACTTCTCAACGGGCTCTGCAAGGCAGGCCGCGTGGGGGACGCGCTCATGGTGCTCGACCGAATGTCCAGCCCAGGCTCGGACGTCTGCGCGGATATTGTCATCTTGAACACCGTAGTGGATGGGCTGTGCAAGATTGGCAGGCTGCAGGATGCCATTGTGTTCGTGGATGAGCGGATGAGGCGCGTGCATGGGTGTGCGCCCAACACGGTTACATATAACTGCTTGGCTGATGCGTGTTGTCGAGTGGGGGATATTGGCATGGCTTGCCAAATTGTGGAGAGAATGGAGAAAGAGGGTGTGGCACCGAATGTTATCACGATGAACACAATTGTTGGTGGCTTATGCCGAGTTGGGAGGGTTGGTGCTGCACTGGATTTCTTCCACGAGAAGAGGATAGCTTGGCTGGAGGCCAGGGGCAATGCTGTGACCTATAGCACTTTGGTTAGTGCTTTCCTCCACTGCAACAATGTGGGCATGGCCATGGAGTTGTTCCATGAGATGGCGGAACAAGGGCATCCACCAGATGCAGTCATGTATTTCACCATGATATCTGGATTGACACAAGCAGGGCGGTTGGTGGATGCTTGCACCATTGCGACATCGATGAAGAAGGCAGGATTTAAGTTGGACTCAAAGGCATACAACATTCTGATTGGTGGATTTTGCCGGAAGAAAAGGTTGCATGAGGCCTATGAGTTGCTTGAGGAGATGAAAGGAGCTGGTCTTCAGCCAGATGTGTACACCTACAATACCCTGTTGTCTTGTTTGTGCAAAGCAGGAGATTTCTCAGCTGTGGATGAATTATTGGGGAATATGATTGATGATGGCTGTCAGCCTACTGTGGTCACTTTCGGTACACTGGTACATGGATATTGCAAAGCTGGTAAAACAGATGAGGCATTAAGAATTTTCAGGTCCATGGATGAGGCCAGGATTCAACCCAACACTGTAATATACAATACTCTAATTGACTTCCTCTGCAAGAGCAGAGAAGTTGATGCAGCTATCAAGCTGTTTGATGAGATGAGGGAAAACAATGTGCCTGCAAATGTGACAACCTACAATGCATTGTTGAAAGGTCTTCAAGATAAGAACATGCTAGAGAAGGCTTTTGAACTTATGGACCGGATGAGAGAAGAGAGGTGCACTCCTGATTATGTGACTATGGATGTTCTCATGGAATGGCTGCCTGAAATTGGTGAAACAGAGAGATTAAAATGTTTCATGCAGCAAAGGGATCAAAAGGATAATCATGCCTTACATGTTTGACCATGAAATGAATTTTGTATCATCATATTAACTAAAGTTGCAATGTCTGTGTTTAATTCATAACTGGAAGATCAATTTGACTTGGCTCAGACGCAAGAATTTGGAAACCATTTTCTAAATCCTAGCTAGCCCTATGAGATGGATTCCTTGGTCAGAATTGGCAGCAACCGTAGCCTGTATTTTAGAAGTGTTCGTTCTGTCTTAGGGGGCCGTAAGGCATAATTGATTCAGAGCAGGTTATTTGGCACATATTGTGGCAACTCATAAGGGTATTCTTTTGTTGCCAATCAGGTCTTTGCAAGTTAAGTACTATTTCATTTCCTTTGTTTGGTTTTGTAGATTTATAGTTGTTGAAGAATGTAGAAAAATGGATTTGGAATTCAAGCCTATGAAGTATTAACTCCCCTTATTAGATGACAGTTGAACAGATACCAATGTACCAAGTCATTCTTGACACCACTCTATAAGTCTATATCAAATGATGAAGTCCTTATTCTTCAACAGATAATGTTGAATAATTTTGTCAGAAAAAAGAATAAATGTTAAGGGCATAACCATATGTAGTTAGGAAAATCATATGCGCCCAGGGGGGCTGGCACTCTTGTTCTAAAATACCATGTTGTAATGTTTCAAACATCATCACAAAATTCATGTATGTAGTACACCTAAAGTTAAGTGTAGCCGCAACAATTCAGTTTGAAATTCATCTTTGGTGCTGTGATTAAAAAAACAGAAGTGTCACTGTCAGCACATGATGAACAGTGCCAGGTTGACTGCTTGTCTAATTTGTTTCTTAGCATCCAGGATGAGTTTCAAACTGGATTGTTGCGGCGATACTTAACTTTAACTACATACAAGATTTTTGTGATGATTTTTTGAAACATTGCAACATGGTAATTTAGCTAACGAGGGCACTAGCCCCCCTGGGCAACAAATCTGCACTCTATGTAGTTAATGTTTGGAACCCTCTGGCATGAACGTTGGTTAGAACAAAGGCCCTCTTGCAAAGGCTATATTCCATCACTCTATGTAGTTAATGTTTGGAACCCTCTGGCATAAACCTTGGTTAGAACAAAGGCCCTCTTGCAAAGGCTATATTCCATTTTTTAGTTTATATGCTTTCAAGTCTTTTGCCCCCTAAATCTTCTTATATGAATGCAGTATGATTGAATTTGATTTTTCAATTATAGAATCCTTCATATACAGCTCCCTTGACAATTGTAAAAATCTGTATTTAAAGGATGCATGGATGAATCTATTAGTAGAATGTAAATGCATATTGCATTTGAAGTTATTCAGAAAGGCATATTCACCATATTTGAAAGAATAAAGTGTGAATGTTCTCTTACAGGAGAACTGATGTTTGAACAATCCTTCATGCACAACTCTCTTAACTGATAGTGATCATGCAAGAAAGCTTTTGAAATGTGGATTTGGGTATTCTTAGCTTGAGATATGTACTGACTTCTATATTTTGATTGTTACTATGTCTAGCAATAGCATCGTTGAGATTGCTTCTGGCATCTTCTCCATATGCCAAACCATTTATTTTGTACGTATTGCTGATTGTGATTGTCAGTAAAAATATCCTGACAATTTCCTCTATTGCCTTGAAAGATAAAAACGGGGCCTAACCATTGCCAGGTAGATCTAGGAATGTAATTGTCGATTTGGAGTAGTGAGGTTCTTTTTAACCATACTTCAGCCTCATCATCCTTTGTGGTCAGCTTGGAGCTGCAAACTTCAGTGATCATATTGAAGAGAATGGCATAACGGAGGTCCTGGTTGCTCCACAATTGCAGTCCTAGAGATGTCGCCTACGCCTGTGCCCTATCACAGAAAGGTAAATTAGTAAATATGAATTAACCTTCTGCTTGTTAGTTTTGAGATTACATGGATAAATATAGATCAAGGATTAAACTTGTCATCACATAGTGCTGCATCTTTGAATTAGCCTATATTAGCAAACCTTATGTGCAGACTTGCAAGCAGAACTCAGAACTTCTGAACAGTTACAATTTAAGCTCCAATTGGTGTTAGGCCTAATTCAAGAAATTTGAAGAAGTGCCATACAAGCAATTTTCTTTTCTGGTTTGCCTACTTTCCAATTGCTGCACATGTGAAGTACCGTAAGAAAATTCTCATGTGGACATTCATAATTACACAACAGTCTTAGCCTTGCAAATGTCAACAAACCGAATAGCCTCGCTATTAGTTTGAGTGCACTTCTAACAAAAAACCACACCTAAGAGTGCCAACTCATATGTCATACCTTCATGCAGTAGTACACAGCTCTCCCTACTATATATATACGTGAGTAAAATCTGTAATTATGTTCAAATGTTGCAAATCCCAGTAGTAACATGTGAATTCATCTTCTACAGGACCTGCAAAAAGGAAAACTCAAGCACCACCAATAACAATTTAAACTGGAGCAGAGATTGAATGTAGATTGAACCCATGGCAAGGCTGTCGGTGGTACACATTTTGTCAGTTGATGACAACCATGTATGTGGACTTGCTGCTCCTGCCAGTTGTTTCTCCTGCTGGAAATTCATGAGCTACACTTGTACATAAGCATAAAGGTCAGACGAAACCAAGTTGGCTTGGCAGGATTTCCGTGTCATGTCCCTTGCAACTTGGGTGATCTGCTGTTGTCGACTGTGGTGTCAGTGAAAGAAATCTCGTTTCATGCCTCCTGGCTCCTGGCTCCTGTAGTGGTTAGCGATTTTGATGGACGGTGCTGCCAGGCAGAGATGCCTAGCTAAGAAAGACAAGACAAGGTAGGAGAGAACAACAAATTAAGGACAAAACACCAAGTGCATTCATTACTCTCAGTTTCATAGACCTCGTCAACTGTAGTTCAGCTCATGAACATATCCTGAAGCACCGTGTCAAATGTGGTGACGGTGTATTCAACCGCTGGGTTTAGATTTTAAGAGGGTGACGAAGTTTTGCTTACTTTTTGTGTGTTGCCTGTCGTGCAGGGAGGTAGCAAGTTGACAATCAAGCCACCCTTTGTTGGAACCAGAAGCGAGTCCCGTCAGCTGTAACTTTTCTGAAGCCAGAATCCCCAGTTTTCTACGGTCTACCTGGGCATTTTCTCGGAACGTTGTGCTTCGGACCAGCTCGGTATAGTTCTGATGAAAGGAACCCATACAGCACCACGGTCACGGGTGAAGGAGCAAGACGGAGAGCCGTATAAGTCACTGCCTTGCGTCTTCGGTCTTTCCTTTGAAGTGTTCGTAGGTTTGTGTTGCCTGATATGGGATGTTATTGCTGGCTAGCTGGCAGGAAGACCTGGTCAGAACTCGGGCACCGGCGGCAGTACAAGTCGCAGGTACAGTACTATTCTTGACTTTAGCTTCATATGGAGAGACACAGCTACAGTGCTGACTCTTTTTTGTGTGGCGAAGAGCTACAGTTGTGACCTGGAATACCTGTCGTGCAGGGAGGTGACTGAGTTTGGAGCCTGTCGAAACGAGTCCGCCGGCGGTCCACTGCAACAGTGACGGAGCCGCCTCCCTCTGACCTGGACTGCTACAGTGTGCTCGGGTATTTTCTCGGAAGTTGCAACAGTGACGGAGCCTGCCTGCCTTGCTGCGACCAAGAGCTGCAGCACGTCTCCGTCGCCGGGCCAAAGCCGTGCCGCACGGGACGAGGAAATTCACGGCACAGCACGTAGGCAGTAGGACCGAGAGTTGTGCAAGTCATCAGGATCTCCCCGTCTCTTGCTTGATCAGTGTTGCGTTGCCTACATGCTTGACCTAGCTGGATAATTTGGTACTAGTAATAACTAGTCAAATCTCGTGGCAAAACGTTACATGATTTGCCAATACCATGTTCTACTCTTTTACTTGTATATAGGCAGGGTACCTGCCGGATGTGATCTAACAGTTTCTGATAGTCAAGATAGATACCGTGCAGCACTGAAACTCTGACAACTTTGCGATGATAGCAGATTAACAAGGCAAGTTTATTTGAAACAAGCCAACCGCTGATCGAACCATGTTAAAGTGTTAACGACAAGACGAAGCTGGTAGCATCTTCTGGCCAACCTCTCGAGCGCTTTCTTGGAAATGGCGATACTGAAATTTGACTTGGAGAAGCATCCCTCCCTCCCAAGGTGAAAACTCTGACCAGACCATGGACGAGCGTGCATGCTCGATCGCCATGCAATGCAAGCAACGAGGAAAGAATTCCAAGCCCCCGACGACCGTGTGTGAACGACGAAGAGGACCAAATTGGCACGGAAGTGCCCGCTCCCGCGCGCACATGATCCATGACAAAACCGATCCGCTGACCAAGGACGTCCGTTACATTACAGGGGATTGTTAATTCTCGGTCGAGTCAAACTCCAAACGGCCGAACCTGCCTTTGCCTTGTCTCACAGGGCCAGCACCCGGTCAAACTCTAACCACTTCGTTCCTCCCTGTCTATCTAAACAAAAATTGTCTAAGAACAGAAACACACCACTAGCCGGCTTCTCTGTGTACGAGCAGCCAGCCCTGATGCGAACAATGCATGGTGGCCCAAGTAGAAGTATAGCTAGCCCTGTTGCCACGGCAGTTTTGGTCCAACTAATCGGTCCGCTTGACTTATCAAGCCGGCGCCAGGTGCTGCGACCCGTATGCTCCAGAGTCATTGCCCTGTCACCCCACGCATGGGTCAACACGGCAGGCTCCGACGTTTGACCTCCTCGCCGTCGAGAGGCTCATTTCGTCGCCGCCGTACGTGCGGCCGGCCCCACTGACAGCGACGAGGAATTGCTGCCATTAATTCCGCTTCTACTTGGAACACACAGGGCAGGCAGGCACGGGACACATGCATGGCGTGGCGCCGGTGCAAATGGAACGATCGGTGGCGCGCGCGGCGACTTTTCTGATGAACGCGCTGCGCTGGCAATCCGCGAACGAAACCAAGTCACCGCCATGCAACTTCCGCCCGCCCGAGATCGCAATGCCTCTTCGACCAGCTCTGCACCCTCCCTGCTTATATAT